CGCTCGTCAAAGAGAAAATTTGCTATATTTTATTTCGATGTCAAAGACGCACCAGGTTCTGCTGTGTGTTTGGTGGTATTGGCCAGGAATCATCTACTACGAGCTGCTCCCCTAAGGCCAAACGCTCAATTTGGACCTCTACTGCCAATAAATGGACCGCTTGAAAGCAGCACTCATCCAGAAGAGGCCATCTCTGATGAACAGAGGCCGAATTGTGTTCCATCAGGACAACGCCAGGCCACACACGTCTTTGGTGACGCTCCAGAAGCACTAGGAGCCCGGATGGGAGGTCCTTATGCACTCTTCTTACAGTCAGTACCTGGCACCAAGTGATTACCATCTTTTCCTGTCCATGGCAAACGCGCTTAATGGTGAGAAGTTGGCATCAAGAGAGGAATGTGAAAATTGGCTCTCCGAGTTTTTTGCCAATAGGGAGGCAGCCTTCTACGAGAGGTGTATAATGAAGTTGGCATCACGGACAAATGTATATAAAGTTATCATGCTTTGAAAAACCAATAAAAACCGAACGAAATTTTTACTTGACCAATATACTAAGTTAGGAATAAGACCGGATATTGTTTGAATTAAATTTGTAGAAATTTTCGGAGTTTAGTATGGAAAAGTTGAAAGATTAAATATTTTATGGTCCTCAAATACGACTGATGATGATAGATATATATATTTTATTAAAACTATGAATGCGCCGGAAAACGAGCTTGAAAAGTTTTATGTTGGTTGTCGAAAACTTCCTTTCTTGATCACCAAGAGAACCAGATCATGAAGAGATTGCGCAAAATATGCTGAGACATTCTCAGACTTTGAGAGCAAATATTGATACTTATATACTATCTCTGCAATCATATGTATAAATTTCCAGAAAATTTAGGAAATTATAGTGACGAACACGAGGATCTAGAAGGGATGGCGGAGAGATATCAGGTTACCCGCAGAAAAATTATTAAACCCTCATAAAAGAAATACAACTTATTTTTTTACATTTTTCACACTACTTGCTACCATGTAAAGGGTGTTTTTTAAGACTTCAGAATTTCCATGAGCAGTTGGGCTTATTGCCAGCTGTTATTTGTTTTGCTATTTCATAATGAGCAGACTTACTACGGAACCTCTTTTGTACATCCTGAGAATTTAGTACCAAAACGAAATGCCACCGATCCCGATTTCCCCACGAAATTTTTGTTTAGCGATGAAACTCAATTTGGTGGGTCACGGATATGATAATAAACAATATTTGTCGCATTTGGAGTGATGAGAATCCACAAGGCATTGTTGAGGCGCCGTTACATTTTCAAAACGTCGTTGTGGGCTATATTAGCTTAAAAATTATGCTGGTCCTGTGGCGTGGTCTCCAAGAGCGTGCGATTTAAAACCGTCGGAATATTTTTTGTAGGTTTGTAGGACGATTGCCATTTTAAAAGACAAAAGGTGGGCGAGATAGGCCTCTCCGCTGGAATTCAATTGAGTTCCCGCGGTATCACTTGCTCGAGATAATTTTTAGAACATAAATACAAACCGTTATCTTTATAATAAAGCCTAATTCTCGGTCATAACAATAAATTATATTGCGACTTATTTCTTCTTGAAACCCACATTTCTAAAAAAAACACCCTTTGTCTTAATTTTTCATTCTATATATATGTGTTATCAGGTGCACAACCTTGCTTCCGCCGTTTTTTTTCCAAAGTTAAAAGCTTTTTTGCGAAAAAGTGCTTACAGATATATTATTCAAAGTATTGTCCTTCGCTAGCGACAACTCTCTCCCTTCTTTCCGGCAAATCTTCGGATCCCGGCTCGAAAAAAGGAGTCCTCTTTTGAAGCTATCCATGAAGTAATCCATTTTTCCAATTCTTCGAAGGATTGAAAATGTTGATCTGCCAGGCTGTGTGCCATCGAACGGAAAAGGTGGAAGTCAGAAGGGGCGACATCTGGGGAATACGGCGGGTGGGGCAAGACTTCCAATTTCAGCGTTTCCAGGTACTTTTTGACTACTTTTGCGACGTGAGGCCGAGCATTGTTGTGTTGGAGGATGACTTTGTCATGTCGCTCTTGATATTGTGGCCGCTTTTCTTTTAGCGCGCGACTAAGACGCATCAGTTGCGTTCGGTAGCGATCTCCTGTGATGGTTTCACCCAGTTTTAAGAGCTCGTAGTAAATCACATCGAGCTCATCCCACCAAATACAAATCATAACCATCTTCGACATCGAAATCACCATTTTTAAAATGTTGAAACCACTTCTGACACGTTCTTTCACTCACAGCAGCATCACCGTAAGTTTTTGAGAGCATTCGATGCGCTTCAGCTTCATTATTTTTTCGAATTGTAACAGAAAAGTAAAACTCCCCGCAAATGACGAGAATTAGGCACATACACGGACATTTTTCGTGAATAATACGAAAACAAGAACAACTGTCACTGAAACGGCGATGACAATTCGTTAGGCACTGTCCACACTCACTTGGAAGGCATTATCATCTATGTATTTCAACCAGCCTCAGCCGGTACAGCCACCAATCGGAAAACGGCGGGAGCAAAGTTGTACACCTGATATTTTCAGATTAAAGGAAAGCAAGAACTGATAGATATTTGAATTGTGGGCATAAATATAACCAAAATCAATATTATATCTTGGACCAACAAAAATATTCTAGACCGATGTTTTCAATTAATCAAATTGGGCTAAGAAAATATAGCAACAAAGTCGAAACCTCAAAACCTTTTATTTAAAATCTTAACCCTGGACTCTCTCAAAAAAATCAATTTTTCGAAACTTCTCTCGTTCGATAAGAAATATATTCAGAAATATTTGCACAAAATTCCAGAGTCAGATTCCTATTCGGTCCGCAGAAGTGGCCTCTGAGAGAAAACGCGCTCAGGAGACTGATAGGTGGTCGCGAGATCTTTGAACGCGATTTTCTCAAAACAGTGTTTTTCTGTTTTGTGCCCACGACTAAAAAAGTTGTAATTGTCGCATTTTCATAAGTGATACCTTTTTTACAGCTCATAGTGTAGGCTTCTATGTGAACCTAAAAAATCACAAAAAAAAATTGTTTTATTAACCATTTTCAATAAATTATCTTAAAATTTCTTCAGAAAAACACAAAATTTTTTATAAACAGTCAAAAAATAAATAATTTTATACAATTCTTGGAATATCTCTTAGGTTCATATAGAAGAGCAACTCCTAAGCTACAAAAAAAGTATTTGTTTTTATGTTTCAAACGAAAACTACGATCGCTATCGTGTTCACAAAATATACTCTTCGAGCGAGAAGTGCCACAAAGAACTACGAATTGTTATTGTTTAACAGTATAAAATAAAGTGAAAGTAATTTTTTTTGCAAGATTTGTGTATTTAAGACCTATTTCGAAAGTACTTTAAACATTTCATACGTAAGGCAACCTAAAACACTGTGCCGCATATCAGGCAATTTTCAGCGTTCTAAACCAGGTTCCCCCCTTAAAGACCCACTCACTTCTGCCACTTTTAATTGCTGGTGATTCAAGGCAATGTTCGGGAGAAAAGTCCTTATATTTTTCAATGAATAAATTTTAGCTTAAAATCATTTCTCATTAAATTCATGTAAATCAATTTTAAATAACCTTTTATTATATTTTCGTAAAATTGCACAGTCTGTGAACACTTAATAACTGAATTAAATGACTAATTTCACGACCTTGCCAAATAACAGTTAATGACATCAAATATTTTTTTCCAAGTAGATACATTAGTTTAAAGTGTGTGTGTTAAATACACCGATTAACTGTTTTTCTAAGACGTCATTGCCACTCAAGGTGCCAAAGTGTCTGCCACTTAACTCACTTAACTGCTGACTACCTAAACGCCCCATTAAAATGTAATCATCTCCATCTCCAACTAGTTAACAAAAACAATGTTATTTCATCAAAAAATTACTTAATTTCTTTGTGAAAAAGTCTTATTATTAAAGAGGCAAAAAGAAACCCACATCAGGGTAAAACGGCATTTTCAATAGAGCTACGCGCGCCGCAAAAACGATTGTTCGAAAAGAAAAGGTGAAATGGAAATTGCGTGGTGGTCCATGACTCTTTTCGGCCACTTCTTTTTCAATCTCTTTCAATATTGAACGCATTAACGCAACGCTGGTTTGGTCTTCCGAAAACGCTGAGCTGGATTCGTGCTGCTAATTGGTGCGGCTTGCGTGATATCTTCTTTTAGTAAATTTAGTATTTATTTCATTTTGAGTTACTTCCGCATCTTGTTTTTTCTCACGTTTAGCTTTAGCTGTTTGTTGTATTTAATTTTTGTTTTTTTTTTTTCAAATCTTGCATGCAGAGACATTTTTTTAAGTTTGTTGGGAATTATATGACGGAAATCATATGAATAAAAATCGTATGTAATAAGAGGTAAAGCGCAAAGAGATTAGTGCCGGAAGCCTTTTCTTTTTAGTCTCGATAAAGCTAAGTTGCCTTCACCCTCATAGTCCTGCAAAGCGCAGCAGAGTGTACCGTCCAAGTCAAGGAAAAAGTCATTGGTCGGGAAGAAGATGCCCCAAAGCACCTAAAGGCAGATATATTTGTCAGGGCGAAGGTGCATCTAATGTAGATGATGTCCCTCCTCAAGATGCCGACTAAACAAAACGAGAACTGAGAGGTAACCCTCCTGAGGTGTCATAGTGATGGGTATATCCAAGATATATACACATTTCCGGAATTGGTGGGGTACAGTGCCCACCACAATTCCTTAAATTCTTAACTCAGAGCTGGGCATAAAACCCTCACAGCAGGAATGCCCATCTGCTAGTGCCTCCTCGGAGGGGAATTGTGTGAAAGGGAATGCCACAACCGTCTATTCTGGCTGCCCCGTTGTCTGCGAGAAAGGAGAGATGAGGGTGTGTTCCATCCATATTTAGCTAGGGCTCTACATTTAAGAACAAACTCTTGAAATATTCTCAATGCCTTTAAACCAGCTCAGTAATATAAATTTATTGCACTTTACTTCCAGAACTCAACCTCAGGATACAGCATGTCAGGCGATGAAGGATCGTCGCTGTTGTTGGACGCGTGGCAAAGTCATCGGCGGCAGTTCTGTGCTCAATACGATGCTTTATATACGTGGAAATCGAAGGGACTTCGACCAGTGGGCGTCGTTTGGCAATGCAGGTTGGGGTTATGAGGATATACTCCCCTACTTCCGCAAATCTGAGGATCAACGTAATCCTTACTTGGCGCGCAATAAACGTTACCATGGCACAGGTAAGTTTACAGACTCAATGTAGACGTTGAATGCGTAGCATTTATCACTCCTTCTGCTTTCAGGCGGCTTATGGACAGTGCAAGATTCACCGTACAACACGCCACTCGGTCCGGCTTTTCTACAAGCTGGCGAAGAGATGGGCTACGACATAGTCGACGTGAATGGCGCCCAACAGACCGGCTTTGCCTTCTATCAGTTCAACATGCGACGCGGTTCACGTGCTTCCACCGCTAAGAGTTTTCTGCGGCCCGCACGCTTGCGCAAAAATTTGGATGTGGCGCTCTTTGCCCACGTCACCAAGGTGTTGACACATCCGGAAACTAAACGAGCAATTGGCGTACAGTTCATACGCGACGGACGCTTACAAACTGTTTATGCTACACGCGAGGTGATACTTTCGGCTGGCGCCATCGCAACGCCACATTTGATGATGCTCTCTGGCCTGGGACCAGCCGACGAGTTACAGCGAGTAGGCATTCCGCTGGTGCAGCACTTACCTGGCGTAGGACAGAATCTGCAGGACCATATTGCCGTGGGTGGCATAGCTTTCCTCATCGATTATCCCATCTCAATTGTGATGAAGCGTATGGTGAATATAAACACAGCGCTGCGTTATGCCATCACCGAGGACGGACCGCTGACGTCGAGTGTTGGATTGGAGGCTGTGGCTTTCATCAACACCAAATACGCGAATGCAAGTGATGATTGGCCAGATATGAGTTTCATGATGACTTCAGCGTCGGTTATGTCCGATGGCGGCTCACAGGTGAAGACCGCACATGGTCTATCAGATGAGTTTTACAATGAAGTTTATAGCGAAGTTAATGATCGTGATGTCTTCGGCGTTTTTCCCATGATGCTGCGTCCGAAAAGCCGCGGCTTCATTAAACTCGCATCCAAAAACCCACTCCGCTATCCACTACTGTACCACAACTACCTCACACATCCGGACGATGTGAATGTGCTGCGTGAAGGTGTTAAAACCGCCGTCGCTATGGGCGAAACGCAAGCGCTGAAACGTTTCGGCGCGCGTTTCTGGAGCAAACCTCTGCCCAATTGCAAACATTTGCCGCAATTCACAGATGAGTACTGGGATTGCGCCATACGTCAGTACACAATGACCATCTATCACATGTCGGGCACAGCGAAAATGGGCCCGCCCAGCGATCCATGGGCGGTAGTCGACCCACAGCTGCGCGTGTACGGTGTACCTGGGCTGCGTGTAATCGACGCCAGCATTATGCCAACCATTACCAATGGTAACATCCATGCGCCGGTGGTAATGATCGCCGAGAAGGGCGCAGATATGATCAAGGAGTTGTGGCTGAGCAGTACACAGTGGCGACATAAGCGACAAGGCCGCGAGCTGGAACCTATTTGTAATGCAACGGAAGCACCGACGAATACGGAGTTGGAAAGCAATGATGTGGGCTCCTAGCGTAGGCGCACCAACGGAGAGAGGAGTCAGTTTGTATGCTTAGTTCTGTAGTGTAAGAGAGCTTAGCTTTTATCTAACTTTTAGTCAATGCAGAATTTCTTCTCTCTTTAATTTTTAACATCACAAATACCTCTCATCCTCTTAAGCTTGCTTGCAATCGTTTCAAATAATTTAGTGAATTTATTTTGTAAATAAAATAAAAAAATTTATAATTTTTCATTAAAAAAAATTATTGTTTTAGCGAAACGGTTTATATGTAGAGTAGTTAATTTATATTTTGTTAAAATCTTTAAGTTAAACAAAGATAAGTTTAAGGCATTTTGCGCATTGTACATATTGAGTCACAAGTTTTTTAAGCTTAAGGAGTTGTTTATTTAAAATATTTAAAATAAAGTTTAAAAACTATATGAATTCTTATTTGATCGGGTGAAGAGGTGGTTCTCTTTTCGACGACACTGTTTGACTGAGAATTGTAACTCTTCATAGCAAATGATCGCAGGAACGTCCACAGATATACAAATGATTTTCATCTCAGAGACTTTGCTCGAGCTATTTATCCAATAGCCTCCGAACCTCCGAATTCTATTTAGATTTAGTATTTAGAAAGGTCACGACCTCATAGAGAACACTTTAGGCCTTCACCACGTTATCTAAGGTGGTTTTAGTAATGTCATACGCGAGAGAGCCACAATCGCAATCATTAAACGTGTTTTAGAAAAAAGGGTAACTTTCGCTGATCTAAGCGACGCATCCGTAACCAGGTGTTTTTGGCGTGTTACTTCGTATACCGAGATGTTGAGATTGCGGTCTGGGTGTAATTGCTGCAAAGACGGGATTTGTGCTCACCAAATTTATTCTTAGGAGCAAACTAAATAACGTTCATCGGACGGCCACCATACTCATTACAGAATCTGTGTCCCATTTTGCCCCTGCAGCTAACCTGGAGTATAGGTCACGTTGACCTTATTGCCCGCTCAAGGGGTTCTCCTAAATAATATACGTTTTGCGTTTTGAGATGAACAACAATTCACAGTTCCTTCACACTGTTTTTTTAGTTACATAAAAGATTTTTTTAAAAGCTTTCGAGATGATTTAAAAAAAAACACTCAAACTCAAAAAAAAAAAAAAATTCCCGAAACGTGAAATAAACTGCTCGCAGAAGTCGCCTCCTAAATGGGCCATGTGACACAGTCTTCTTGAAATCACAGGTCAGTAGGTCAAGTGTAGGTTTTCCATTTTGGTCAAGATAAGTTTGTTGTCAGCGCACGGTAGCACTCTCGATTTAGAGCAACACTCCGGCTTTCGACGTCTTTGAAAAAGTACGACCTAATGATGACCCCGGACCATAATCCTCACAAAATGTGTCTTTTTCGAGATGCATTCACACCAAATTACTTCCGCAACATTTTCCACGTAGTGGAGTAACAGAGGCTCATTGCTGCCAACGATGTCGAATCGTTAATTCACAGTCTTCACTCACACTGGGGGACATTTCCTCTGTCCGCAATCTAAGTATGCGTGTTGGTGGTTTAATGTCCAATAATGTAAATTTGTTACGAAATTTAGTCACAAGATTTTGAAGAGCTTCCTCATAAGGTCGGCGATTCATGGTTTGTCTGTGACACAAGGCACGAAACACATGTGAACTGTCAAAAACAAAAAGTTGCTGTGGGGTTTCTCCAGTTTTATTCATGTAAAATTATATTTGTTTTCTTCTGTAAGACATTTTTTTCCTGTTTAATACTTTTAATAATTGAAGCTGTCTGTGCCAATCGGTTGAAAATTGTAAATTCTGACAATCGTGGTGAGTAGAAACGTCAGAATTTTGCCTAGTTTTCTGTTCTTATTTTGATTGTTTGAATACATAATAATAAAAGAATATAGCCATAATATAAGAAAGCAAATAACTTCATATTCTTGATGTTTTGTGGGAATTAATTGGATAATTTTTCTGAACGTGCTTAAAGAAATTCCTAAATGTGCACAAATTTTGCTTTCATCACTGGACATACATAATTGTTTTGACACAAATATTACCTGGACATGAGCCTGTTGCTTAAAACTCTAAACTAATAACAAATCATTAATTAATAAAGAAAAGTATTTTCTTTATATTCTATTATTATTGTACCAGTACGCAAAAAATATATTATTTTGCTTACGTCAAAATTTACAACCTTATTTGGCACAGCAAATTGTAAAGTTTTTCACACCATAGTAAATTTTTTCCCACCTCATTTTACCACATGAAAAGAGATTTTGGCACACAGCCTGAATCTCATTTTAATGCTACCCTGTTATTGAATTTCTTTTCTACTACATTCTCCCTGTAACTTACTGCAGCATAGACAAGACCCTAAATGTTCAGAGGTGAAATATGAAGTTGTGGTGAAGTCAATATTTATACAAACTGTGTTGAAAGATTAAGATAACTTTCGGGTCGGAACTTGGCTATATTGGTTGTTGCAAGTGATAAAAAGATGTGGTGGATATACATATCCTGGTGGAATGTAAAATTGTTCATTAATAAATATAAATTGCCGTTGAGTGCGAATTACATACATACAATTTGAAATTAAAGTTACCCACTTCTGCACAGAATGTAGTTTACCTGCAATGAAAAAAAATTAAAGTCGAGATTAGTGAGAGCGTTAATTTATTTAAGTAAGCAATTTTTTACAATGATACCCAGAGTAATTAAGTTTGTGAAAAAATTCTATACTAACAACCATTAAATATATATGGAAACAAAACCTGTTAACTACCGTTTCAGAATGAGTTTTTGAACAAATAAACAGATATAAAATTAATTTTTATTTCGGTCTTATTTCAAAAGACTCCAGAAATCCACTTCCCAGTCGATGTAAGTATAAAGAAAAAAAATCATCACCGCACCAAATCTATACGTTTGATTTGCAAAAGAGAAAAACCAGGCTTTTACCATTAACAATCGCAGATTCAAAGCAACAACAACTGCATGACTGAAAGTATCTGTTTGCAAAAATTGTAGCCACAATAAAAAAAATACATTTATTTTCTATTTATTTGCTGAAATTTCCTGCATGCCATCATGAGGAAGGCCGTGGCTTCGACTTCAAATCCTGGCCAGACCAACATCCGAAAAAAAAGAAAATTAATAAAAATGACATGAAATAAAAAGCTCCTCATAAGAGCCCACCAGCAATTTGGAGCACGGCTGACAATCGCTTCAGCGCCGTTTGTAGCGATTTGTTCGTTACTGATACGAGACGCTGTCACCACTCCTGAAAGGTTTTCACATAAATACACTACTATTTTTTAAAGGCACATTCCGCTTCAAAAAACCAAGCTTTGAACCGATAATAGATAAGAAACTGTTTGAATCGGTGCCATGTGAAATATAGATCCATAAATAGAATTTATTTGAGCTTTGATATATTAAGTACTTTTCTTTCCCGAAAGTGTTCCAATGAGCAAGTGTTCGATTCGGTTTACTGTGTAGCAAATTAAGAAGGAGCCACCAACTATCCATTAATATGTGCCTGGTGTAACACCGCTCAATTTATCACCAAAGGCTGGAGCCGAAGTAATCAGGCTTAGAAAAAAAACGATCCCAAGTCACAACATATGGCCTGGTCGTTTAAATCTAGAAGCTTCAACATTAATCGCCTGGAATTCGCCACAACGATTGAAAAATCACAAAGCCAGCTCTTGAATGTTTGTGGTCTGAGAAAAAAAAACTAATGCCGGGTTTTTGCATAGTCATTCTTCAAGATCCGCAAAACCAGTTGCTTCATAACAACCAAAATATTTTATTTTTCACAAAACATTTCACTGGAGAGTGCCAAATATGCACCAAAATAATGTAAGATAATCGGCCTTTTGCGGAATATCGTCATCGTCAGTTGGCATGTCGTCCAACGCCATCGTCAACAGTATCGCCAGACGACGCTGTTGTGGTATGCTCGTCAGCGTTATCGCCATCGCTTTCTGTCGTTTCTCATCGTCACTTATCGTCAGTGACATTACTGACGATCCTTCAACGTAACAGACAATGCAGAAATTAAAGTGGTTAACGACAATTGAGATTCTTGAGGCAGAATCGGCAAAAAAGCGACTGTTAGCTAGGGCTTTGCAAAAAAGAGGTTTCCAACACAATTTAAAAGAGGAGTGGGAAGTTGTTACCACAAAAAAAAAAAAAACGCGGTAGGACCAAATGTGCGGGATGGCGATGGATAGTGCAAGGTATATTTAAAACACGAAAACATCAAATGTTTTTTGTTTCATCATTTGGGCTATTTTCTTATCAAATTTACAGTGAAGAAAAAAAGGATGAACAGCAAGAAAGAATCAAGAGAAGAGGGATTTACAAGCACATGGTATTGACCTCTCTTGAAGAATCCGTTGCAAATTTAATTGGGTTCAAAGAGCTGTTAAATCCAGGTGGTGCAATATTTGGTACGACGAACCGCATCGCGGCATTAGCAGCAACGACATTAATCGCCAACAGATTCAGAGAGAATTGTTGAAGAGTCAACGAGGTTCTCGCGTAGCACGAATGCGACAACGATCGCCACAGTCTACGATGAACATTTAAATTTGTTTCTTTTCTTCATCGTTTGAGCTTGATAAGAGCAACTAAAATGTGCATTTTGAAGTACTTCTTATCACACTCCAAAAAAAAAGTATCGTCAAAATATTCGTTTTCAAATACAATTAAGTTTCACTGGAAACGTTGAAACCAAGGTTAAGAACTTTTAGGTATTGATTTTGGTTCGTCTATCCTTCAATGAAAACATGGTCATTTAACACAAACGGAACCTCCACCATGGCATCTACCGTCAACCGAAGTGCGCTACTGCGTGCCCAACCAAACCATTTCCCCTCCATTTCTCTTTAATAATAAAGTGCATCTCTATAGTTTTTTCCAAGCCGCCACCGAAGAGCTAATGGATTTTTATGAGGAACTTTTAATTTCATGCTAGATGTTCACATTCCCTGCCGACAACTGGTCCTTTTTAGCTACAGCACGAACTCATATTTCGGCCGCTCGGTTTTTTTGGTTGTGACCTAACAAAAGCTGTGAAAGAACAAAGATAATTTTTTATTCCACTGGAAAATATGGATTCTGGCGAATTAAAAGAGATTTTCATATGTAAAGACGGTCTTTTTGGACTGAGGCTTGTGAAAGGACGTGTGGTAAAGATTTGTCTGGGCATTGAATTTTAAGCTTTGCGTGAGTAACCAACGGAAGGGAAGTGCGTGCAACGGCCAATTCATATTTAATTAGTTTATTGTGTTCCCGGGCTTATCAAAGCGTCATAAACGCACTTTCCATAGGCAAAAAAAAAATTATATAATAAAATATAACTGAAATAAAAACTATTGGAAAATGAAAATAAAATATTCAGCTAGAGAAAGATACAGATAGGACGCATTCCGACGCTTAGAGGTATTTGCCACCGTGTCCATCGCTGACTATGTGCATACAGATTCTTCCTTGCAATTAACATTGTATCATTTACATTTATGTCTATGTA